AAAAGGCGTTGGTTTTCGAAAACCAACTTTGGTCATTAGAACCCGAAAGGGGCGTCGTAAAGGGACTAATACTCCCTTTACACGTAACTAACTCCCTTACCCAACTCTGGTTCTAATGACCAAAGTTGGTTTTCGAAAACCAACGCCTTTTTAAAACCCCTTTTCCGATGTTTATGGTAAAAATATCGGTGGCGACTCCATAGAACCCAAAATAAATAAGTCCTTGGGTTAGCCCGTTGTCGGACAACTCAAGGACATTTTTCGAAAACCTCGTCTCTAGGTTAGCCCGGTTATCGGACCACCTAAGGACGTTGTAACCACCAATAAAAAACACGAAAATAAGAGGGTCGATAAAATCATCGCGTCGCTCCGACCGCCTCGTTTTTTACGGCGGCGACAATGCCAAATTAAAATTTTATTTTAAGATGTCCAATAATTTATTAATTCAATTTTAATTATTAGATAAAATATAGATAAAGTGGAAGCGATATAACCAGAGAGATGAAGGGAAAGATTCAAGCGTGGAGATGTAGGATGCGGTGTTGTTAAAGAGATAAAGGCAAGAGAAGAACATACAGTAATTTATACTGGTTCGGGTATAGCCAACCCTACATCCAGTTCCCAGTCAACTCTAATCACAGGAGTGACTCCAATTCACTATCTTTAAAATTCAGTTTACAAATTACAATCAATTCAGCAGAGGAACCAGTAAAAAGTAAACTAATTAAAAAGACAATCACAATCCTTAGAAATCCACTAAGGATGAACACCTCCCTAGAATCCCACTAGGGATGAACACCTCCTCTGAATAAATCAAAGGATGAAAAGCACCTCCTTTACAACCAACACACAAAGGATGAACACCTCCCTAGAATCACACTAGGGATGAACACCTCCCCAAACAAATCAAAGGGATGAAAACACCTCCTTAGAATCTCATCAAGGATGAACACCTCCCTGAACAAATCAAAGGGATGAACAGTTTCCACACAGGAAACCCAAAGAAATAAAATAGAATAACAACAACCACTTAAACTCTAAATAGGAAATTTAACATCAACTTCCTAATTCCTAGAAAAAGGGATTAAGGCAATAAAATAATAACAACCACCTAAACCCACAAAGGATGAAGGCAATAAAATAAGAACAATCACACCCGATTAATGGAGACAACAAATTGCATAAGCCTGTAGAATGTCAACCTCCAAGAACAATTGTGATTAACAATAAAATCACAGAAGGGAATAGAGAATAGAGTTTTCTCAGAAGGTGTAAAATATCTTTGTTGTCTTGCTCAAAATTCTTTTCTTAAAACTGAATGAATGTAAAATTGTATTTTTGAATTTTGTAATTGTGTATTTTTTATTTTTCATCAAAACTCATTTAAAGAGAAAAATAGCATCAGAAAATAGTCATTCGTCATTAATACTTTTGTAGAGAAAAATTAGGATGTATTCAAAAACATTTATTCTTCAAAACGGATATATTTTTCAAATATGAACTGCCATAATCGATTATGTTACCAATATAATCAATTATGACAAAGAGATAATCACTTTTCCATTTCTAATGCATCATAATTGATTATGACAGTGAAAAATGTCATGTTACGAAATTTTATCACACTTGTGCTTTGGAGGCTTATGCATAATACCACTTCATCAACTTGTACCTCTATATCTAGTATTCTAAGATTCTATCTAGTATTCAGGAATCATCTTGGGCTTGCTTGATTTTTGAATGAAATCTTTATCAAAATCATATCTTGGGCTTGCTTGAGTCTTGAATGTTGTTGACTTAAATCATCATCAAAATCATCTCTTGGGAATGAAGAGACATGTTTCACATTTTCATCAATCTCCCCCTCAATGCTTTCATCATCAACTACTACTATGATGAACTATATGGAAGACAACAACAATTATTAAAAATAAAAACAATAACTACAACAACCATGAAACATAAACAACAAGTAACAACAACTACTCGTAAGATATATATATATATATATATATATATATATATATATTTGAATTGGATATAAAAACCTCAAGAACCAATGAATAACAATTAAAAAAATGAATAAAAATGGAATCAAGAACAAAATAAAATTAAGAACACATCATGATAGAAAAATTACTTTAAATCTAGCTTTCATTTGTAAAGAGTTATGATAGGGGTATTTGAAAAGTTTTGTAGGTAAATATCTAATTGGAAATAGTAAATCTAATGATAAAATGAAAGCAATAAAGTAATGCAATAAATTTTGGAAAATCTATGTAAAACAATGGTTAATTCTCCAATCACAAGATATATCCATCATAATTCTAATCAATCATAATCCAATTAGCTAAATCTAATTGATTCACCGTAATCTAGAAACACAAATCAATTTCTAAGAGAAACAACTTGTTCTGGAATAAAAGTGAGATAATCCTTTTTTCTAACCCACCCCCTTTTTATCTTTTTTCTCCTTCAACCGTGTAGTTTGTTTTTATTGTTTCCCCTATTATCGGCCCCGATACCGCCTAATTCTAACCACCCCGGTAGGCTCGGGCCCATTAGGTAATGGTTTAGCTCAGTCTTCCTTTATGGACCTATTCGGCCCACTACCAATACTTAGAATTTGGGCTCCTATGGGCCCAAACTCTATTTAAGCACCACAATCCCCTATTCTTGTATTAGAAAGATATTCTAATGCAAAGACTAAAATCGAAATGAAAGTTCCATCGATCTTTTTCCCTTAAGCGTAACTAATCTCGACTGTAATTGGAAGTATCCCAAAGTATTGAATGTGTATAATGATCTTTGCCTTCTTGGTCATGCCTCAACCCATTCCTATGTTATTTGACTTGGTCTCTAATTTTCAAACATTTCATCTTCCAAAAGCAAATGTCATATCACCTGAAGTATTACCCTATACTTCAAATTTTGTGTCTACGCTTTTTACTTCGCTTTTCTATTTACCCTATTTTGTTCTTCCAAGACGCTTCATTTCCCTCTTCCCTTCGTCTCTTCACTTTGCGCAGCTCTCAACCTTTTAGACTTTTGTTCATCTTCCGACTCTACTCCGGGCCTTTTAGGTATCGCTTCCCATTTCTCTCTTTTTGTCTCTTGATATTACATAATACTTTTGTTCACCGTTCGTCTTTGTTTTCTGCGTTCCTATTGCATCGTGATTATTGAAATTTTACCCACACCATTAATGTCACATTCTTCTTCCCCTCCCCCTAGCGCGAGCTCTAGTAGCTTGGATAATAAGTCCATATACCCTTGGGCCAAATCTGATGTCCTAAATGAGTTCACCATTTATTCTAGCGGTAAGAAGCTCAAACTATTTAGGAATATTCAAGGTTTAAGTCGTTTTGGCGAAGAAAATAGTATTCTGGTAGAAGTCTGTGAGGTTGATGAACCTGTCTGTAGAAACCAAGAATCGGACCCAAATCCTTTCTTTTTTATGTATGATACTCTTTTTATTAAATTAGGAGTTCGCTTACCTTTTGATGACTTTAGTAAATCAGTACTGACTACTCTTAATGTGGCCCCAGGCCAACTCCATCCTAATAGCTGGGCTTTTATTCGAGGATTTTCCATATTATGTAAACATTTCGATTTTGAACCGAATATTTCTATGTTCTTATACTTCTTTGAATTTCGTATTTCTAAACGGACCTCTTAGGCATCCATAAGTAGTGTAGGGGGTTAAGCGCTTTTATCTTTGTTCCAATCATCATATAAATATTTTAAAGGTAGATTTATAAAGATTCGAGCTCCTGAAACCCACAAAACACTACTAGAGGGATTTCCCCTATATTGGACCGACAAACCTTGTGGCCAAATACCCCTTGCTTTGGACGAGCTCTCCCCCGAAGATGCCAAAAATTGCACATTACTTGATGAGTTACAAACGATTTTCGATACCGCCCAACTTCTTAAATTAGAAGGCAGACTAGTAGACTTAAGACTTTGTATAGGTATAAAATTATTTTCCCATTTTCTTTGACTCTGCAAAACTGTGTTAGTTTGTAATGATTATTTCTATGCAGAAAAACAAATGTCTTTATCCAAGAAAGCTCTTAACCAAAGAATTCGAGCTTTAGAAGGTAGAGAAAGTGAAGTTGGTAACAAAAAGGAAAGCAGTACAGGATCGAAGCATGAGAAGACATTAAAAAGAAAACGTGATGATACTCAATCAGTTCCAGTCATCAAATCGGGGGAAGTTATGACTGAAGCCACTAGTCATCCTCAACCTCTAGCTGATTACCAAGGCGATAGCTGGCTTGAAGGATCTTTAGCCCCTAACCATGGGACTTTAAATGGTATGTCTTCTTTAGAGTTGACTCATTTAAGTCAAGTCGCTGCAAAGAAGACAATGGCATTGCTTGACATACTAGAACAGCAAGCTCGAGATCAAGAAGGTAAAGAAAAAACAGTAGAAGATAAACTTAATCATACTCAAGTCCATATGCATATCCTAAAAGATGAACTTAGCCAATTACAGGATCGGTTCCATAAGCTAGAGAGAATGAGATGACGCTATAGAAAACGAGAAAATATATAAGGTCCTTTTGGAAGAATCAAAACACAAGGTTTGTGATCGCAACCAGAAAATCGAGGATCTAAACATTCAAATAAAAGATCAGACCCGACAGATTGAAGATTTATCTGATGACTGTGCTAAAATGTTCAAATCGAGCTTTAGTAATGCTTTGGATCAAGTTAAGGTCATCGCCCCCGATGTTGACTTCTCTCTATCCGACCTTGTCAAGAGTGTGGTGGATGGTATGATTGTGGAAGAAGACAATAAAGATGAAGATGAGAGAATGAAGACGAAGAAAATGAAGACTCCAGCACTTAATTCCTGATACTAAGTACTTTGTTTATGTTGAGGGTGTCTATTTTGTAATTGGAAACAATTGTTGTTTTGTATCCACTACTTAAACCAGACTCCTATTTTATGAATGCCATAGATTTATTCTTGCTAAAAGATGATTCGCCCCTTAATCTACTATAAGTACAAAGCATGTATGGATTGCGTACGTAGTGCAGATTGCGCATGTAGTGTAGATTGTGAACGTTGCCCAGATTTCGAGTGTACTACGGATTGCGTATGTAGTGCGGATTATGCACGTAGTGCGGATTACGCATGTGGTGCAGATTGCGCACGTTGCCCAGATTTCAAGCGTAGTGCGGATTGCGCACATTGCCCGGATTTCGAGCGTAGTACGGATTGCGCACGTAGTGCAGGTTGCGCACGTAGTGCAGATTGCGCACGTAGTGCAGATTGTGCACGTTGCTCGGTTTTCGAGCGTAATAATATAAACATGTAATGAATGTTTGAAGGGAACTTTTTATTGATATTGTTGCCTCGTTAAAAACCTTGAAAGAAAAACCTGAGTGTTCTGTAAAAAACTTTCAAGGAAAAGAGTACAACTCCAGGCCCATCATTAACTATAATAGAATCGCAGACTTGATGCATTCCATGTCCTCGGTATCGAGCCCCCATCTGTGGTTTCTAATCAATAAACACCTTTGCCAACAACATCAGTTATACGATAAGGTCCCACCCATGCTGGAGAAAGTTTATTGTGAATCTGATTCAACTGAGCGCGCTTCATAACCAAATCACCTACCATGAACTCTCGACCCCGAACCTTCTGAATGTGTTGTTTTTCACATATGCATTTCAACATATAAGACCGGATTCGAGCTTTTTCTCGAACTTCTTCAATTGTGTCCAGGTTGACTTGTATTTGTTGAATAGATTTATCTTCATTGAATCCTTGCACCCTAGAAGATGAATAAATCAATTCTACCGGAATGATGGCTTCGGTCCCGTATACTAATTGAAAGGGCGTTTCTTTGGTGGTTGATTGTGGTGTCATGTGATAAGACCAAAGAACACTTGGTAACTCTTCTACCCAGAACGTTTTAATCTCTCCCAGTCTGCGTTTGAGGCCATTAAGAATTACTTTATTTTCTACTTCAACCTGTCCATTGGTTTGTGGATGTTCTACTGAAGTAAAAATTTGATGTATATTTAAGGTCTTGATAGAAGGCTCTGACCCTGGTACTAGCAAACTGTGTCCCATTGTCCGAAATTAAAGTGTGGGGCAATCTGTATCTACAAATAATGTGTTGCCACAAAAAACAACATATCTTATCTAATGTGATAGTGGCCACTAGTTCTGCTTCAATCCATTTTGTAAAATACTCTATGGCTACAATTAAAAACTTAAGCTGTCAAACTGCAACTGGAAAGGGTCCCAATATGTCAATTCCCCACTTACAGAAAGGCCAGGAGGCCGTTATGGAGTGTAAGGGTTCGGGTGGCGCTATATGAAATTTTGCATGTTGTTGGCATTTGACACATTTCTTAACATATTGTATACAATTATTTCGTAGTGTTGGCCAGTAATATCTTGCTCGAATCACTTTAAATGCTAAAGTCTTGCCACCTATATGAATTCCGCATATGCCTTCATGAATTTCTCTTACAATAACTTGGACATCCTCTTCTGTTAAGCATCGTAGTAGTGGTGTAGACACTCCTCACTTGTAGAGAATTCCTTCGATCAACACAAATTGTGTAGCTTGAAAGTGATCCTAGCAAAGATCTCATTGATTTGATGAAGTCAAAGATAAAGTCAAAGGTCAACTCTGCAGCAGTCAACAAGTCACCCAGATAATTGAGCTGAAGATTTAGTATGTCTTAACAGAAAGTTTAGGTAAAACCATTTTACCTTTTCTACTGCATGAAGCTCCTTCACTCATTTTGCAAAATGCCTCAAAAATAGTCTTAAACAAATAAAAAACAAAAGCATTTTGACAAGAACTTTCTTAACAATGTTTTTTAACTGATATAGTTTTAAAAGAAACAATTAAAATCACTTAGAATGCGTAAAAAAGTGTTTTTACAGTATTTTAATCGATACAAACTTCTTTTAATCGATTAAAACCCTTTATGACCGATTAGAATTCGGATATGACAGGTCAGAATGAAATATAATCGATCAGAATTTAAAAATGAGCGATCAGATTTATTTTAATCGATTAAAACACGTTTTAATCGATTAAAACCACTTTGGAAGTCAGGATGATCGATCAGAATGAAATTATGACCGATCAGAGTTGGTTATGATCGATCAAAATTGAATTATGACCGATCAGACTTATTTCAATCGATTAAAACAAACTTTCAATCGATTAAAAAGACTTGAAAATTTATGTGCAAATTTTCAATCAATTTAAACGACTTTATATCAGCTAAAATAACTTGGAAAGTTTTATAAGAAGGTTTTTAAGCAAATCAATCGATTAATACGCGAATCAATCGATTGAATTACTCTTTGAAAATGTTTGTAAAATGTTTTAACTGATAAAAACATGGTCGTATCAGCTAAAACAATTTTGTTAAAGAAGAAGAACGCATTAAGGGTTGAAAGAACTTTTAACAGATTATAACGGCTATTTCAACAGATTAAAACAAACTTTCAACAGATTAATTAATGCAGCTTTTTCTGAAAACTCTTTTAAAAACAGATTTGCTTGGAACTTTTTACATATCAGTTTTCATACAAACTAAGCAATCAATTCAAGCAACTGTTAAGCATCCTTTTCCAAGAAAGATTCGTAAATGCTTTGTGAACTTCTTTTGAAATATTTCTTGAGGCACTTTTGCATTCTTTGAAGAAGAAACTTACTGTGGATTAGTGTAATCCGGTTTGCGCTTTCTAAGTCTCTTCTTTTCAATTGCTTTTCATTTCTTTGTACTGTTTTGTACCTGGAATTTGGGTACAAGTTTTCTGCAGCTGGTAGGTGGTTGTAGAAGTTTCCAAGAACTGGAATTTGGTTCTTGGTGGAGAGGTTGAGTACAGGAACTGGAATTTGGTTCTTGTACTGTGTGGTGCCTGGAATTTGGGTACTGGTTTCTCTGCAGCTGGAATTTGGTTACAGAGGTTATCAAGAGCTGGAATTTGGTTCTTGGTGGAGAGGTTGAGTACAGGAACTGGAATTTGGTTCTTGTACTGTGTGGTGCCTGGAATTTGGGTATTGGTTTCTCTGCAGCTGGAATTTGGTTGCAGAGGTTATCAAGAGATGGAATTTGGTTGCAGAGGTTATCAAGAGATGGAATTTGGTTCTTGGTGGAGAGGTTAAGTGCAGGAACTGGAATTTGGTTCTTGTGTTAGATTAGGTGTAAGATTGTTGAGTCTGTAAAACATCTATTCTAGTGGAACCCAGCTGGAATTTGGCTGGAGACTGGACGTAGCCCTGGTATTGGGTGAACCAGTATAAAATACCGGTGAAATCTTTCTTAACCTTTCTCTCTTTAATTTCAGTTGTTGCGCCTAATATTGTTTGATTGCTTGGTAATTCAAAAAGATTTTTAGAAACTTAATTTTCGAATTAGATAATCTGAGATTTGCGAAAAACTTTCAAAAGATCAATTCAGCCCCCCTCTTGATCTAAAACTACTTTTCTAACAATTGGCATCAGAGCGAGGTGCTTGAAAGTTAATCAAGTTACTTCAATCCATGGCATTTTTTGAGGGAGCGTGCATTGATAGACCTCCACTGTTAAGTGGAACAGATTACCTATATTGGAAAATAAGGATGAAAATCTTCATTGAATCTGTTAGTATAAATGCTTGGAATGTTATTGAACAGGAAATTGATATTGCTAACAGAATCCAAGATGATTGTATTGCCAAGAATATCATCTTATCTGCCCTTAACAAAAATGATCTTTTCAGGATTGCACATTGCCAAACAACTTGCACAAATGTGGAAGATTCTTGAAAAGACCTATGAAGAAGCACCGGAAATATGCTTGATGGTCAACTCGGAATCACCAAATACCGAGTGTAAGTTCCGAATCTATGAACTATAGCTCATTACAAGATGCTTTCCTTGAAATACATGCAGTAGCAAATAAATTAGAAACTGAAAATAGAAAATTGAAAAGCATGAATAGGCTTTTAGAAAACAAGATCATTCTTCTTGAAAAGAAAATAACCGATGAAGAAACTAAGGATGAAAAGTTAGAATTAGAGAATGATACTCGATTGCATGTGTAATATTGAAGATTGCAAAAACTGTCCCGAGTTACGGAAACAAGTATCATATCTAGTAAAAACCTCATCTAAATTGGGACAAGGAAAAAATAATCTTGATAAGATACCTAATTCCCAAAAATTAGTTATTGAACGTGGTGGTATAGGTTATACACCAGCCATTGGAAAGAAAACCAGAGCTTTCAAAAATTATTTTGCATATAGTAAAACAGTTTCATCTCCATTTATTAAATGCTTTTACTATATGAAAATGGGTCACTCTGTTAAATATTGCAGAATTAAGAAATATGATGTACCTAAAGGTAGAATGAAATGGGTTCCAAAGATTAATTCTTTCCAAATAACCTGATCAGGACCCAGTAATTATAAAGGGTACCAGAACCATTCTTAATTTGTTTTGCAGGAACAAGTCTGGAAATCCCTTGAAGATCAGAGCTGCGAAATCAGGTTCTGAGTATTTAAACTAATTGTTTTAATTGATATATAACAATATTAATCGATTAAAATAACTTACAGAACATATGTCCGTACCATTTTAATCGATTAAAATGTCGAAATAATCGATTAAATTGTTCTCAGGATTTTAGTTTAAATGTTTTAATCGATTATAATAACTATATATCAACTAAAAACACTTAGGTATCAAAATTAATCGATTCATTTACGTTTTAATCGGTTTAAATTCTGGTGTCATTTTATTGATCACATTCTATACCAAACTAATCGATTCTTTTATAAACCAATCGATTAATTCACTGTAACTGTTTTCAAACCTAATAGGAAAAATGAAATTAATAGATAACTAGTTGATCAATCGATTAATTAGGTTCTCAAAACAAGATTTATAACATCTAATTAAAGTTTGATAGGCCAATTCGAATCAAAAACCCAGTTTCTTTGATAAACAAAATCTGCATAATACTTTCACCCACCGTCCCGTAAATTGTGCCTCTGTAGCGATCAGATAATCATAAATAAGTCTCGAACATATCTGATTCAAGTTATCTCGTTATGGAACACCCAATTTTCTTTAAATGGCACATGCTGAACAAATCCTTGAATTAGAAACTAAGACTAGTGGAATAAATGTGGGAAAGTTATTGCTGATTGAATTACCGCAAACTTTACATGTGGGAAAGTTATCCATAGATGAAAAAGTTATTTTAACATAGTCATGATTCAAGTTGTAGACGTCTACATATCTCTTAATACTTTACATGGAA